TAGAAATCCACTGATTAACAAATGGTGCGCCAACTAAAGATCTGGAAACTGAACGCTCTCGTTTGAACAAGTTCTTAAAATATCTATCCCTTTATGCTTTTGTAATATTGGGGCGTTAGAACTGGGTAACATTGACAGCGTAAATGTTGTTATTGACGTTTCATGCTTCACTTTAACGAGGAAACTGACTTGAGTATAAAAAGCTTCCTGTCCAAAATATTAAGTGATATTTTATCAGCAGTCTTTTATCAGTTGTTTTGCTGCTGTAGCAAACGAGGAAGTAAGACCAGTCGAGAGTAAGGAAAATAAGACTCGCAGGTTTATCTTTCGCTGTTCCAACTGTCATGTGGGATTGAGAAACTCGATGCGACCGTTTACATTATAATATGAAGTCATCACCAACCAATAGCGAACTAACATGTCATCTTATTCAATAAAGTCAGGTATTTTTTTCTTGGCGGTCTTGGGAGAAAAGAATATTGTGTTGACATACTCGTCGGACTTGCTTTGAAGCACGCAGTCTAATTCTCCACAGAATTGTTTCCTCGCGTCTAAATCCCGGTAAGCTGATAAATTTCATGTTCTTCTTCGTTGTTTGAGGAGTTTATTTCAAGTGTTGTTTCTCAATTACGTTTTTAACGATGTCGTTTTAAAGGATTGACGCTTGACTACCGGTTATTAACTTCTAGTATCGTAGCTAAAATCCAGCTAATTTAACGTGATTCTAGTTCACACATTTTATTTAAAGGTAGGCTAATAAATATTCCGCAGGTATTTAACAGTGGTGGTTTTTAGTCGAATTTGAGTACTGGAACCTGGCACTGTTCGTTTCTTACAAAGATGTGATCTTCATTACCCAGCACAGTTAATCTTATACCAGAAAATTGAAACACTCCAGGACAAGTTTTCAATTGCCGTTACAAAACCCAAAACTTTACTTACGTCTTAAACAGATGAGTCGTATGTGACCTCAAGTTAATTAATATTAATACAGTGAGGAATTTAATCAAGCTCTATTGTTATTATCCATTTCCAAATTTTGCGACAGACTTGTCGTTTGTATAAGAGTTTTAATTTCTGCGCCTTAGAATTGGATTAACAACAAGCTATGTTTTCCCATCTCGTTTTACGATATTTACGCCCTTGTGTCCTTTCTTAGAATTGGGTGATCTGTTTGGCGAAAATTTTCGCCTGAGAACCGATTTTATTATTGTTCCATATTCTCTTATAGAAATGCTGACCAAAGAGCTAAACTTCCAGTCCAAAAAAAAGTTGTGAAACATCTAACAGCGAACTTTTGTCAACTACTTTCGCTAGCTTTAAACGACATGAAAATAACAATAATCTCGTAAGTGTAGCCATGAATTATCTGCTATTGTTAAAATGCAGAAACTTGATACCAATTATCATGAGTCATGGAGGACCAATAGCAATTAAACATGTCATCTTGTTCAGTGAAGTCGGGTTTTGTTCTTGACATTCTTAAATGAAGAGAACCGTTGTGTTTGAGGTCTTCTAATCTTCGGACTTGGGTCTAATTTCCACACCAGTGTTTTATAGTGTTTAAATAGTGGTAAGTTCGGTTTTATAGGGTAAGTGCTGATTCCCTGTATGACACGACTTTTTATTTTGTCATTTAAGAGGGTTAGGGCCTGACTTCGTAAATAATAAGTATAGAATATAAGATTTGTGGTCATCACACTGAGGCTATGTTAATTTGTTACTATGAAGTAAGGTGCTGACTTCATTATCTTTGCCTGAAAGTCATTGTTTAAAAAAAATCTGCCAAATCGGCCTCAAAAACGGATCAATCATCACTATCAACGTTAAAAATAGTCAACATCCTAGCCACCTTTTACAGCTCGAAACGTCGCTCTAACTGGCTGGAAGCTGCTGGTGCCAAATCTAGTTATAGAAAAACAAGTAGTTCAATTTTCAACAGTGCTTTCAAGTCTTTCTTGAATGATCAGCTGTAAACAGCTTTGCACGGTTTAAGAAAGACATTGCTAAAAATCATCACATAACTAATGTCAAGTTACTGAAGTAACAAAAACTGAAAGAAATTCACATGAACTTCCCGGTATTCCTTCGAACCCCGCGCGCTCTGAATCGGGATTTTCATCCTCTCCAAATGGTCAATGGTGTTTATTTGTTCCGGCCGGAAATATCTTTCAATAAAAAGAATGAATCAATTATAGTCTACCCAGTAGGCAAGAACTGTAATTTATGATTAACACTACGTAACCACTCAATTCCAGAGATAAGAGATAATGATTACGACAAAACTAATACAACTAAGGTCCGGTTCATACGTCGCATTTCTGCCGTGTCGAATTCAATTCAACGAATTA